GGGTTCCTGGGAGGTTGCACGGGTATGTCTGCTGCGTCGGATATTGGCCTTTGCTGTTCGTGGTGGCTCCAGGTCCACTTCGGCTCAGCATCTCAGACGGTTATTTTTTCATCCTCTTCCTCCTGTCTTTCAAAAGATTTACTTTTATTGGAAAGGCAGATCAGATTTACAGAGAGAAGGAGAGACACAGAGAAAGATTTTCCATTTGCTGGTTCACTTCCCAAGTGGCTGCAATAGCCAGAGCTGAGCTGATCCAAAGCCAGGAGCCAGGAACCTTTTCCAGGTCTTCGACATGGATGCAGGGTCTGAAGGCTTTAGGAAATCCTCTACGCTGCCGGGCCCCTCCACATATCTTAAAAAAAAAAAAAGCAACTGTGTTGGCACACTGGTATAGTTAACACAAATTTGGCATTAACCAGACATAGAATGCCTGCCAGCTATTACCTGCTTTTCTCCCAGGAGTTTAACACTTGTCTAGGTACAATCAACCTAGATAGTTGCCTACATCTGGGGTTGCAAAACATTTCTTTTTAAAGATTTATTTTTATTATTTTTTTATTGGAAAGTCAGATATACAGAGAAGAGGAGAGACAGGAAGATCTTCCGTCCGATGATTCACTCCCCAAGTGAGCGCAACGGTCGATACTATGCCGATCTGAAGCCAGGAGCCTCTTCCAGGTCTCCTGTGCGGGTGCAGGGTCCCAAAGCCCTGGGCTGTCCTCGACTGCTTTCCCAGGCCACAGGCAGGGAGCTGGAAGGGAAGCGGGGCTGCCGGGATTAGAATCGGCGCCCATATGGGATCCTGGGTGTGCAAGGCGAGGACCTTAACCACTTGCACCACCGCGCTGGGCCCGCAAAACATTTTTTTAAAAAGATTATTTATTTGAAAAGGGAAGGGATAGATCGCCCATCCTCTGGTTCTCTCCCTAATTGGCTGAACAGCTCAGGCTGGGCCGGGATGAAGCCAGGAGCCAGGAGCTCCCATCAGGGCCTTCCATGTGGGTGATGGGGCCTGAGCACTGAGCCATCTCTCACTGCTTTCCTAAGAGCCTTGGCAGGAGCTGGAATTCAACCTGACACTCCCGTATGGAACACTAGCAATGCAAACAGCAGCTTAACCTGCTGTACTATAATGCTGCTTTCCCGAGTCCCAAGCATTTTAATTACTTTGCTGCTCTGTCTCTGCTCCTGGTCAAATCAAATGGACCAGCAGGACAGACAGTTCTTTGTCTGGGTTCACCTTCCAAGCTCCCAGTGAAAGTCCCTTCCTACCTGGTTGCTGGTGGAGTTCCGGCTGCTGTTGGAGTTCAGATCGCCGTGCTGGAGCATCAGTCACTGCAACATCACACTGCTGTGCCCGCTGCTTTCCTGTGTCTGTCAGTCTCCAGGTACCCCTCTGCTGTTGTTCTGTCCTTTCGTATTTCCTGAAATATGTCCTCTCTGCTTCATCCTGGCTAAATGTTTCTCCGTCCGTTTAAATGTGTCCTTACCCTGTTCCGCCATCTTGATTCTCACATTTTAATTACTTTGAAAATATACCTCACACCCATTAGCAGACATTCTCCATTCTGTCACCTTCCTGATCCCTGGGGACCGCTCATCTTCTCTCTGTTCTCCACAAATTTGCCTATTGTGGACACTTCATGTTAGTAGAATTAAAACATATGCTTTCTGTATTTGGCTTCATTTTTTTAAAAAAAGATTTCTTTATTTTTATTGGAAAATCAGATATACAGAGAGGAAAAGAAGCAGATAGGAAGATCTTCCATCCATTGATTCACTTCCCAAGTGGCTGCAATGGCCAAAGCTGAGCTGATCCAAAACCAAGAACTAGCAGCTTGTTCTGTTTCTCCTACATGGTGTGCAGGGTCCCAAAGCTTTGGACCATCCTCGACCACTTTCCCAGGCCACAAGCAGGGAGCTGGATGTGAAGATGGGCAGCCAGGATTAGAACCAGTACCCATATGGAATCTCGGTGTGTGCAAGGCGAAGACTTTAACCACTAGGCTACCGTGCTGGGCCCTATTTGGCTTCTTTTATCAAAGATAATGTTCCCAAGATGCACCTGTATTACTGACTAGCACTTTATTCCTTTTTGTATTTTGTTCTTTGAGGTTGTTTCCACTTTTTAAGCTATTATGAACAATGCTGCTATGAAGACTAGAGTACAGATTTTTGTGTTAGATTTTCTTTTAAAAATTATTTATCTGTGGGCCGATGTGCTAGCGTAGTGACTAAATCCTTGCCTTGAAACTGCCAGGATTCCATTTGGGTGTTGATTCATGTCCTGACTGCTCCCTTTCCCATCCAGCTCCCTGCTTGTGGCCTGGGAAAGCAATAGAGGATGGCCCAAAGCCTTGGGACCCTGTACCCTGCATGTGACACCTGGAAGAAGCTCTTGGCTCCTGGCTTCTGATTAGCTCAACTCTGGCCATTGTGGCCACTTGGGGAGAGAACTAGTGGGTGGAAGATCTTTCTCTCTGTATCTCCTCTCTGTAAATCTGACTTTCCAATAAAAATCAATAAATCTCTTTAAAAAAAAGGTTAAAAACAGTTGTAGGGTGTTGAGTTTTTAATCTTCCTGCTAATGCGTGCCCTGGCGGGGTAGCAGGTAATGGCTCAAAGAGTCGCATTTCTGCCAGCACATGGAGACCTGGAGTTCCACACAGCTCCTTGTTTCCATCTGGTCCAGCCTTCCCAGACATGGGGATGAGCCAGCAGATGGGGAGTTAGGGAGATCGGGGCTTTCTTGCTCTCTTCTGTGTCTCTCTTTGAATCTTAAATAAACAAATAATTTTTAGTAAAAATTTATTTTTATTGGAAAGTTCTGGGGTTTGTGTGATGGGTGTGGAAGACAGGAAGGTGTGAAGAGAACTGTTTTGTTGCAGGCAGGGCTGCAAGGAATTTCCTGCTGCATGGCAGGGCCCAGCGGATGTCTCTGCATCCACTTGAATGCAGTTCCACCTCCCTTTGCATGGACATTGGACAACCCCACTGAGATTTCTGTGATTTATTTAGGCATTGTCTGCCTCTGCGGAATTAATGTTTAGTACCAATGTGAGCTTGGAAGTTGATGCTGCTGATACCGTTTTAGCCAAAAGGCCTTTTATTATCGCTGTCTCGGCTGCCCCCATTGACCATATGCTAATCAAGGGTGTTCTGTCCCCAGGTGTAGTGGGAATCTATTCTTTCCCTCCTTCTTTGATCTTTAGGTCCTGACTTCTGAGATGCCTTTCCTCGCTTAGCTGATTCAAGACTAAGCTGTAGAATGAGGATTGTGGCAGGAATGTGTTACTGAGTGATATGCACCATCTATCGAGAACTTCCTAACCAAGGCGCCAGGATGGTTAACATCCTGCTTTAAGGTGAAACAAATGGCAGAATTATCCTCAGAAACACCCACTTGACTGTGACGTGAAAAGTCTGAGCCAGAGTTTGACTGGTACTGTGTAAATAAAGCAGACAGCTTTATTGCATTGTCCACAATGATCATGGAATCCTAGTGGTCTGTCTCTCTCTCTCTCTCTCTTTGCGCCTCATCCACGCACCCTTCTCGAGTTCCGAACTCAGCTGGAGCTGGACTCTGGCAGGAAAGCCAGATTTACATAAGAAGGAGAATCAGAAAGATATTCCTTCCCTTCGTTCACTCCCCAAGTGGCCACTCATAGCCAGACCTGAGCTGATCCAAAGCCAGGAGCCAGGTGCTTCTGGGTTCCCCACACACGTGCAGGGTCCCAAGGCTTTAGGCCAGCCTCTATTGCGTTCCCAGGTCACAAGCAGGGAGCTGAATGAGAAGTGGAGCAGCCTGGACACAAACTGGTGCCCATGTGGAATGCTAGAAATTGCAAGGGGAGGATTAGTCAATTGAGTCATTGTGCTGTGTCCCATTTTTAAAACCTTAAAATGTATTTATTTTTATTTATTTGAGAGGCAGAGGGTGATACAGTTCTTCCATCTTTTGTTTCACAGCCATATGCCTATTTCCAATAGCCAGAGCTGGGCCAGGTGAAAGCCAAGAGCCAAGAATTCCATCCCGTTTCCCACGTGGGTTACAGGACCTATGCACTTAAGCCTTTCGCTGCTGCCTCTCAGGGTGTGCATTAACAGTGGAGAAACAGACTCAAACTCAGGCACTCCAGTACGTGAGGCTGCTGTCCCAAGCACTATCTCACCTACTGTGTCAAATGGGTGTCCAGTTATAGTCATCAGAACAGGTGTGAAATTTTATCTCACTGTAGTTTTGACTTGCATTTCCCTAATGAATAGGCTCTTAAACATTTTGTAATGTTGACTCAGATTCTTCGTCCATCTTGAGTTGGGACTATTTACATAGCATTAAGTTGTAAGAGTTCTTTATATAGTCTGGATCTTAGTCCCTTACATGGGTTATTTACAATATTGAACGGCTTGGTGCATGTGAGCCTGGCTTTCTCCCCCCTGCAAAGGTGGGTACAAATTACACAAAGGACGGCTGTGAGGAACAGTGACAGGACCGAGGCACCAGGTTGGGCCGCTGGGGTACAGCTCCCCGATTCCCCGTACAGCCCACGACCCTCACTCAACCCCCCCATCCCCACTCAGTCCCCCGATCTCCACTCAGCCCCCCGACCCCCCGGTACAGCCCCCACCCGATCCCCGGTACAGCTCCCCGACCCCGGCTCAGCCCCCCATCACCGCTCAGCCACCTGATCCCCGGTACAGCCCCCCATCCCGCCTCAGCCCCCCATCTCGGCTCAGCCCCTCGAACCCCGCTCAGCCCTCCCATCTCCACTCAGCCCCCCGGCCCCCGGTACAGCCCCCGAACCCCGCTCAGCCCCCCGATCCCCGGTACAGCCCTCGACCCCGCTCAGCCCTCCCATCTCCACTCAGCCCCCCATCCCCGGTACAGCCCCCCATCGAGCCTCAGCCCCCACCCCGCCTCAGCCCAGCCAGCCCCGCCCCCACATGCCCCGCCCCTGCCTCCGGCCCCGCCTTCCGCCCTTTGACCCGCGCCATTTCCGGTTGGAGACGTGGCCCGGGGCCGCCATCTTGGCTGGAGGCGAATCGGCTGCTGCTCCTGTCACGGGCGACGGGTGCGCAGCGGCCGGTGCGCCCTTCCCGGACCCCAGCCCAGGCCAGAGGACGCGGAGCGCGGGCGCGCCCCCACCACCGCCCTCGCCATGGTAAGATCCGCGCGGCTGGCCCGGCTGGCCCGGCTGGCCGGTGTCGCTCTCGGCCGGCCTGTGGCGGAGGCCGGCGGAGCCCCGGCCCCCGGGCGCGGCTGGGGTCTGGACGCCGGCCTCCTCCCTCGGGGCGCGGGGACCCGGCGGGCTCCCTGCTCCGCGCCCGGCGTCCCGGGATCCCCAGGCCTCGTCGTCGTGTCCACTGCCGCACCCCACCCCCTCCGACCAGCTGGACGCCAGCCGCCGCCGGGACTGGCGCTAGGTTTCTTTTTTCTTTTTCTTGAATTTTTTTTTTTATTTTTCTTTTGGACACCTGTGTAGGAGACTGGGTTTTATTTTGTCTCGTTTCGCATGGCAAGACCATGCGATGCTTGTGGGGGAGGGACCTCGGCGTCCAGGGCCGCTGCCCTGGCGGCGTCGGGGCTCGGCCGTCCCGGCGTTTGCAGCAGGTTCCCGCCCGTCTGTTGGTGCCTTAGCCCGCTGTTCGTCCTGTGTGTGCTACAAGTCCGGATTCCTTTTGTTTGTTCAGAAGGGGGAGTTGGAGGCGTAACGCCCCTGGTGACTTGGTGGGCCTCGAGTGTCCCTGACACCTGCCAGGTGTGTCGCGTCGATGAGCCAGTTACACGGAGCACGGCTTGTGTGTGCAGGGAACGCACCGTTTAAATTGGGTGTGTGGCGTCCTCTGTGTCCTGCGAAACTCCCTGTGGGCGGAAGATGGGAGAAAGCAAAGTTGGGAACTCCGCTACAGTTATCGCTGTGGTTTGTGGATATTCAGGAAGTAGAAGAAATGTTTCTGTTTTAAAGGAGTGTCATTTGGTTTCGAAGGCACCTTAAATTTTTTGAAAAATTATTTTATCACTGGGTGATTGACTTAACTTCTTACATACGTGGCAGTTGTCAGAATGTCACCAGTTGTATAAATTGGATGAAGCAGGTTTGCCTTCTAAAACTTTGGTGTGAACACATAAAATTAACACTCATTTTTCAGTTTCATCATGAGGCTTACATTTTACAGTTCTTAATTAAAGGTTTTAATGACCACTTATTAATCATATATTTACAAGGACAGAAAGCTATATTTCAGCATATGTATGTGTCTACAGTCTAATGATTATGGAAAATAAGTTTTTTTTAAAGATTTATTTTTAGGGGCCTGGTGTGGTAGTATAGTGGCTGAAGTCCTCACATTGTATGCACTGGGATCCCGTATGGGTACCGGTTCTAATCCCGGCTGTTCCAATTCCCATCCATCTCTTGTTCGTTGCCTGGAAAAGAAGTAGACGACAAAAGCTTTGGTACCCTGTATCCACGTGGGAGACCCGAAGGAGGCTCCTGGCTTTGGATTGACTCAGCTCCAGCCATTGTGGTCAACTGGGGAGTGAATCAGGCAGAAGCTTTCTTCTCAGTCTCTCCTCTCTGTAAATCTGACTTTCCAATAAAAATTTTTTTTTCAAGTTTTATTTTGGGGCCAGTGTAATGGCTCCATTGGCTAACCCGGCACCTGCAAATGCCGGCAACCCATATGAGTACTGGTTTGTGTCTCTGTTGTTCTACTTCCCAGCCAACTTCCTAGTTGTGGCCTGGGAAAGCAATGGAGGAGTGGCTTTGGGACCCTGCACTGGTGTGGGAGACCCGGAAGAAGCTCCTGGTTCCTGGCTTCAGATCAGTTCAGCTTTGATTGTTGGGGCTACTTTGGCTGAACCAGCAGATAGATCTTTCTCTCTCTTTCTCCATTTCTGTAAATTTGTCTTTCCAATAAAAATAACATACATATTTTAAAGAGTTATATTTAAAGAGAGAGGAAGAAAAAGAAAACTTCTGTTGGCAGGCCTACTTCCCACATGGCTGCAGCAGTCAGATCTGGACCATACCAAAGTCAGAAGCTCCCTCGGCATCTCCCATGTGGCTAGAGGGAGCCCTGGCCATCCTCTGCTGCTCCCCAGGTGTGCCGGATGAAGCTGGAAGGGAAGTGGAATAGCCAGAACATGGATTAGGTGCTCTGATATGGGATGTCAGTGGCCCAAGCAGAGTCTCATCCTTACATATTTTAATTTTGGTAATAGTTAAAGCCTTGCAAATGTGGGTAATTTATAAAAATCTTGTCTGTTGAGAGAGTCTTGGAACTTAGTATTTTTAATGAATTGATAACTGAAGGATGATGAAGTCCTAGATGCTGAGTGGTAGGGATACATTGGAAACATCGCTTTGACATGTGACATGTGTACATAGACACACAGTTGTGCCATGCATTTCTGAACTAATAAGAGACTTGAAATTATCCGGATACCCCAAAGGTTGATGTTATTTGGAGAACTTTGTCCAGGTGCATTCTTTGTAGAGTCTTAAGACATTTGCCTTATTTCTGTGTAATAGTTTGGGGTCTAACCCTTTTACAGAGTGGTCTGTGGGTAATAGATGACATCTACACTGAAACAAATTAAGACCTTAAGGTTACGTTGGGAAAGTTGGAGCAGGCCTTAGGCCTAGCAGTTAGAAACCTGCTTAGTACGCACTGCCATCCTTTTCTGAGTGTCTGGGCTTTAGCCTCGCCTCTACTTCCAGTTCTAGCTTCATGCTAATGTACACAGTAGACAGGCACAAACCAGTGCCCATGTGGGATCTGATACTTGTGGGTGGAAGATTATCCTGTTGAGTCACCAGAGTAGATGTTGAGGGTCTGCAGTAGTGGCTCAACAGACTAATCCTCTGCCTTACAGTGAGTGCTTACTTTTCCTTGGGTACTGGTTCTGGTCCTGGCTACTCAAACATCTGGTCTAGCTCATTGTTTATGGATTGGGAAAGCAGCAGTAAACTAATGGGTGGAGGATTTATCTGTCTTCTTTTTTTGAATCTGCCTTTCAAATAAAACAATAAATCTTTTTTTTAAAAAAAGGCTGAATTTGGGGGCAGTATTGATGAAGCTGCCTCCCATAATACCAACATCCTGTGTGGGTGCTGGTTTGAGTCTAAGCTGCTCTGCTTCCGATCCAGTTCCCTGCTAATTCACCTAGGAAAGCAGCTGAAGATGACCCAACTGCTTAGTCCCCTGCCCCCCATGTGGGAGACCCAGATGAAATTCTAGACCTCGGCCCAGCCCTGGACATTGAAGCTATCTGGGGAATGAACCAGCAGATGGAAGATTTTTCTCTGCCTCTCTGTAACTCTGCCTTTCAAATAAAATGAATAAATTTTAAGAAAAAAATTGGATTTGTGTGGTTAATAATCTATGCATAACAGAAGATAACTGACATCTTAAACAATTAGAGAGGATATTATTGCTTGATTTTTTTTTTCCGCTTATACTACAGCTGCACAGCTGTATTTTTATCTTTTTGTTGCTGGAGGGGACAGCAAAGAATGAATATTAGTTTCTTGAGTTTTCATTGATCTGCCATCTGCTTAGTCTTCATATGTCTTCAAAGCAAAAACTAATGTCTCTTTTCAAAAAATCTCTACAGGGTTTTATTTTAAAATAAACGAGATAGATTAAAAACCCTTAGTAAACTTTGCAAGCTTTAGGTTTTGTATGTGATTTACATTTTGCTTCAGTATTCTGTGGGATTTTATCTCTAATTACTTGATGTAAATAGGGAACATAGTGTTCTATAACAGGTATAGAAATTAACCTTAATGTAACCATGAATCATAATAAATATGAGAGCCCTTCACAAGTATAGAAAAGGGGTAGGACACAGCAAGTGAAGCTATTATTTATAATGGTGACACCCCGTATTGGCGTGTCAGTTCCAGGGCCAGGTGCTCAGCTTCCTATCCAGCTCCTTGGTAACATACTTGAGAAAGCAGGAGACTGTATGTTTGGGTCCTGGCCCCAGCCATTGTGGACATTTGAGGAGTGAACCAGCAGATGAAAGATCTCTTTCTTGTCAGTCTTCCCCTCTCTGTCACTGTGCCGTTCAAATAAAATAATTAAATCTGGAACCGTTGTTGGCAGAGAGTGTAAAGCCACCGTCTAATACTGTAGTATTCCATAAGTGCACTGGTTTAAGTCCCAGCTACTCCATTTCCAATCCAATTCCTTGCTCATGTGCCTGGGAAAGCAGTGGAAAATGGCCCAAGTGCTTGGATCCCTGTACTCACATTGGAGACACAGATGACGCTCCTGGTTTTTGCCTGGTCCAGCCAAGCTTTTGCAGCCAGTTAGGAACTGAACCAGTAAGTGGAAGATTTCTCTGCCTCCCCTCCCTTCTCCTGCTCTCCCTCTCTACTCCTTCCTTCCCTTTCTATAACTGTGACTTTCAAATAAATAAAAATCTCTTTAAAAATAAAATAATAAATCTGTAAAACAAAGCAAAAATATAAATACATTTTGATGTAAAAAAAAATGAAATCCATGCTTAGTTTTTTCTTAATATACTCTTCCCATTAACTTTTTGAAGTGGAAGAAAGATCTTCAGTGTGCTGTTTAACTCTCCAAATGTGTGTAAGAGCCAGGCCAGAAGAACCTGTACTCAGTCTGTCTCCTGCTTGGGTGACAAGACCCATGTGGCTAGACCATCTTCTACTGGCTTCCAGAATTCACATTAGCGAGAAGCTGGATCAGAAGTAGAGGAACTGGGACCCTTTCAGGCACTCTGATATGGGATCCAGGTGTCCCGGCCTGCATCTTAATCCTCTGAGCCAAGCCTTATGGCCACAAACAACTTGATAGGGAATCATATTTGTGCAGTCTGCCCCAAAGAAAATCAAGCCAAGACTAACTAAAAGCTCTGTGTCCCTGTCTGCTTTCAGGAGACATCCTGTCTCCCAGGACTCTGCTGGGAGGAGGAGGTGCTTTCTCTTTCCCTCTTCTTTACATGTTCACTTGTTGATTTTGCAAATAAAACTCCAAAAAAAAAAAAAAGTCAAATCATCATAAAAACTGTTAACGTACCCTTTACTGTATACTGCATTTTAATAATTGTTAAATGTCAGTAAATACTGATCTGTATGGCTTAGAAGTATTTCCTTTTTATTTTAATATTTACTTACTTGAAAGGCAG